CAATAACAACAGCTGGGGAAAGGCGAAATGCAGTAAATGTTTGTGATATTGTGAGAGGTCTTACTGCACAGGAGAAGCCTAAACACACCATTACCCACTGATCGCATAGTTCTACCTCTAGGGCTTTATTTTGAATGAATAGTTTGGAATATACAAAACATGGAGCCAGAGGGTTTTGGGGGCAGCACTGCTCATTGTGACAAAGTGCAGTAAACTAATGAAATGATTGCTAGCAGGAGTGAGTTAGCTCACCAGTATATGCCGCAGACAGAGAGGAAGGTGCTGCAGGTCTGTGCCATTCCAGAAGATACCTGGTAGCCACATGTGGCTACTTAGATGAAATTGTGTTAGGATTCAGTGAAAAATCCACTTTCTGTATCACACGCCACCTGCTCAGTAGCTGCATGTGGCTGGTGACTGCTCAGCTGGTAGGATATACGTAGACCTAATATATGTACCTAAATATAGAAGGTGAACAGCACTGGTTTAGAATATTCTTAAGGCCCAATGCGGTAGCCTAGAGGCTAAAGTCCTTGCCTTGCATTTGCTGGGATCCCATATGGGAGCCAGTTCTAATCCCGGCAGCTCCACTTCCCATCCAGCTCCCTGCTTGTGGCCTGGGAGGGCAGTGGAGGATGGTCCAAAACCTTGGGACCCTGCACCTGTGTGGGAGACCTGGAAGAGGCTCCTGGCTCCAGATCGGTGCAGCTCCAGCCATTGCAGTTGCTTGGGGAGTGAATCAGAGGACAAAAGATTTTCCTCTCTGTTTCTCTTCCACTCTATATATCTGACTTTCAAATAAAATAAATCTTTCAAAAAAATAGAATATTCTTAGAAGAAAAAAGAATTGTTACAAATCAGAATTGATTCGTGGTAGTGGTTTTGTGTGTGTATGTGTGTGTACATGCACACATGCAGGTGTAACTTGGACTATGGTCTGTTCATGATATTTTCATATTACTTAATAAAATGACAGAGAGGACCACTTCTCTGTTGTTGTAAACCCAGTCTGACTTGGCTCTGGCTGTCTTCACTCATGAAAAGCTGGGGATTTGGTATGAGTGGATGGGTCCCCTCTTCTTGCAAATTGTATCAGCAATCTCCCTGTGGGTTGATCATCAACCATCTGATCATCTGAAATGTGAAATGCTCCAAAAATGTGAAATTGTGGGGGTGCCGACATGACACCCTTAGTGGGAAACTTCATATCTGACATCATCCCATGGGTTGCAGTCAAAACACACAAGCATTAAACATATTGTATAAAATTATCCTTCAGTCTGTGTGTATGAGGGAGTAAGAAGTTCATGTTTAGATGGTCCCATCCCTAGGTTATCTCATTATGTATGTGGAAGTGTAAAAAAAATACTGGAAACCAAAGCACGTGTAGTCCCAAGCACTTTAGATGAGGGATCTTTAGCCTGTATTGCTTTCTGCCTTAAAGCATGTTGCCTGATGTTGACACCTGCAGTCTTCGAACTCTGATCATTGCTTTGCATCAGTTAACCACTCTCACATATTGTTCTGTTGGTTGTTCACTTTCAAGTGTATGCCTTACTTCCCTCTGGTTGGCACAGCTTCTTGGGTGCAGGAGCCAGCTCTATCATCCCTGCCCCTGCCAGCAGCTTAAGGCCCATGGAGTGTCTGCATGATCCCTTGCTTCTCACTAAGGATTACTGCATGATTCTGACCAGCTTGACTGAGATGGAGGGCTGACTCCCAGCCTGGTGCCTTCCCTACAACCAGTGGCTGTCTAATATGTGGGTGCTCCCAGTTGCCATCTGGTCTTCCTATGAATTAAGGCTGTGATTGTGTTAGTGGTAAGCTTCTCAGAGTAAGCTTCCTACTTACCCTGGCTGGTAAGTCTCCTTTTCTAGAAAACAGTCCTCCCACGTTCAGTTTCCAGCACACAGTCTGTCTCCTGTGACTTCTTCCTGGCAGCTCCTAACTTGCCCTTGTTCGTCCTGGACCTAATCCACGGTGCTGCTGTTTCTTAGGCACACTTTCTCTCTGGGGATAGTAATAAAACTGAGCTGATGGCAGGAGTAACCTGGGTACCTTAAATACGTACTTTTTAAAATTATTGTACATTCTGAAATATTTCAAATAGTAGGGAAGAAGAGAATGTGAACACAAATGTTAGTGTACTAATCACAGGTTTTTCAGACGTTTAACATGATTTTCTTTAAAATAATGCATTGCACATAATGGTAAAACTTTGTCAGCCCAGTCTCTTCTCTTTGGATTGGCCACTCTTCTCAAGGTAGCACTCATCCTTTACATCTGCAGAGTCAACTCTTACCACCTCTTTGTGACATCTCTTCCCAATATCTCATTTTTTTTTTTGCATTTTCAAAATGGTTTTATATACTTATTTGAAGAGGTGAGATCTTCTGTCTGCTGGTTATTCCTTAAATGGACATGAGACCCAGATCTGAGCTAGGCTGAAGCTAGGAACTTAGAAACTCCATCCTGGTCTTCCATAGTGCTAATTGGGGCCTAATACTTCAGCAATCCTCCTCCACTGCCTTCCGAAGTGCAATAGAAGGACACTGGATCAGAAACGGCTGAGACTTGAACTGGTACTCTGATGTAAGATGCCAGCGTGGCAAGCAGTGTCTTGACTAGCTGTACACAGTGCCAGCCCCAGTGCAAGGTCTTCAGAAATGTACACGGATGCTGTTTTGCCTGTGATCTTGCAATTGGCCTTTTTCATTTACCCTGATAATTTTAAGGTTTATCCCTGTTGGCACATACTGAGACAGTATGTTCTGATTGCTGATGGCTATTGTATGAATATTCTAATTAGTTCATCCATCTATTAACAAAGACATTTAAGTTATTACCAGGATTAACCGCACTGTAGTGGAATTCCTTGTGCATAATAGCAGACTTTCTGTATAACAATGACATTGCAGAAGATGAACTGCTGGTTAAAAGGTTTGCCCAACCTTAGCAGATATTGTCAAGTTTTTGAGGAAATGGTTCTACACATTTCCATCTTTGTGGTTTCTGAGAGCACCCGCTTCTCTATGTCTCTTCCAACATTGGGAATATAGAGCTCTTGTCTTCCCCAAGGTGCAAAGGCATTGCTTGCTGTAGTTTTAGTTTGCCTTCCTAGTAAGGGGAATGCGGCAGGCAGTGGCCGGGATGCAGATGAAGAACTGCGAGGCCATTCAGAATGAGCAGATCAGGGGTGATTGTTGAAGTGTTGTTAGGGCAAGATTTTGCAGGCCTGAACCCCAGACCCTAGGGCTGGATGATAAGATCAGAACCTGCCAGGCAGCACAACATTTGCCATTTGAGAGGCTCAGCCTATAGCAGGAGGCTGCCAGTGGGCTCCTGTGCTCTTCTGTCAGGGTGGGTGTGGTCATTCTGAGGGCTGCTGAGACCACTGCTCTGAAGGGAGTGATGCCTCAGCATCAGGAATTGACCCTGACAGAGTTCAGACTCAGCTGTGTGACTTCAGACCTGTTCCAGAGCTGCTCTGACTAGGTGGGCCCCTATAAATGCTCCATAGCTTGCTTGGGGAGAGTAGACAAGATGATGTGGAATACTTAGTTGAGAACCTGCTGCTGAGTAAGCATTTACATGGTTGCCAAGTGATGCACTGGGCTGGGTTTGAGGCTCAAGGTTGCCATTTTTCTCAGACTCTCTGGGGCCATGCCCACTGCTGCCATCACATGGGCATATACAGTAAATGTTGAATGAATGTGAGAGTTTATGCTTAGTGTTTTCTTAGCTGTGCTTCCATTTGTATTGTCAGGTGTGTTGAGCCTTTTCAATCCTATCTGAGAGCAAGGAGAATACTTGCACTCAGGGACCACTGTGACTCCATTTGTGTGTGTGAATGCTTGTGTTGAAGATTATTGAAAGGCAGAGTGTCAGGCAGGGAATGAGAGAGAGAGAGAGAGAGAGAGAGAGAGACAGAGGGAGATTCCCCATGCATTGACTCATTCCCTGAAGAGACTACAGCCCCTAGGATGAGGCGAGCCCGAAGCCAGCAGCCAGGTCTCCGGTGCGTTTCAGAGGCCCAGCTGTCTGGGCCATTATCTGTTGCTCTCCCTGGTTCATCACAAGGAAGCTGGTTAGGAAGGGGAGCTGCCAGGACTTCATGGTAGAAAGGGATAGTGATGTTGTCAGTGGTAACAACGTGCCGTGCCACGATGCCAGCTCGCTATTCATGATGTTAAAGCAGAGATGACAATTGTTGATGCCCTTGAAAATTTCAGTGCTGAAATTTCTGACTACCAACCATGAACTTGATATCAGATTTTTTTTTAAAGATTTATTTTTATTATTTTTTTATTGGAAAGGTGGATATACAGAGAGGAGAGACAGAGAGGAAGATCTTCCGTCCGATGATTCACTCCCCAAGTGAGCGCAACTGCCGATACTATGCCGATCCAAAGCCAGGAGCCTCTTCCGGGTCTCCCACGCGGGTGCAGGTTCCCAAAGCTTTGGGCCGTCCTCGACTGCTTTCCCGGGCCACAGGCAGGGAGCTGGAAGGGAAGCGGGGCTGCCGGGATAGAACCGGCGCTCATATGGGATCCCGGGCGTGCAAGGTGAGGACCTTAACCGCTTGCGCCACCGTGCCGGGCCCTTGATATCAGATTTTTGTGGCTCCTTATTTTCCCCTGTTCTCTGTCCATGAAATGCTCTTTCCTCTGCTTTTTTTCTAGTGTCTTTGATATTTATATATACTTATGTAAATACATACATATGTAAGTATTCATATATTTGCATACTATATCTAAGTACATATAGTGCCTTTTCTCCTTCGTTGGCCATAAAATCCCCAGGTTTTCGGAGCATGTCCACAAGTTCTAGAGAATATTCCCTCTCACATCTAGGACAAACTTTAGGCCCATTGCTCGTTAAGATTCCAAAAAGAGAGTTCTGAGGACTCTGGTTGCAAGTCCTGAGGACTTTCTTGGTTACCCCAGAAAGTTCATGGAAAGCAGAATCAAAAGGTGCTTATTTTGTTGCAAAAGTTTTTGAACTCTATCTGGCAGGGGAGACACCATGATCACGCAGGTGGTTTTCCCAGGGTGAGGCTCATCCATTGCACTGGGGATGTGTTGACCCCTGCGGTTTCCCCAAATGTGGGAAATTCGACTGCATAATGTGGTGGGAGGGGGGGACTGCATTTTGATCTCCCCTTAAAGATTTTTTTTTGAAATCTATGCATATGAGGAATCTCACATGTGGACATCTCCTTGGTACCCTGTACTCTAGTTTTGCTGCTTATCATTAAAGAAACAAATCTTTTTCTCACCCTCCATTCTGGGTTGAAGAGAGCAGAAGCCATCCCCCAGAGCCTCGCTGAAGTTTACGTGGTTGCTGCTCATTGCCCGGCTGTTGGTTCTGTGCTGACGTCACAGGACTGAGCGGCTTGCTTCTGAAGGTGCGTTCATTTTCATGGGTTTCTGAAGCACCTGTTTAAACGAATTTGTGCCGTGGACGAAAGAGCCTCAAGGATTTTGAAATGGAAATACCCTTTTGTAAACGTATTTCCAGGAAAATACACTCACTGTTCCTTTTCTTAGGTTATTTGGGGGTAAGGATAGGAGCAGAGAGAGGAAGGATGGGGGAAGAATGGAGAGAAAGTTTTCTCTAACTTGAGGTATGTGTATACACAGTGCACCTTCCAGAAGGGCATCGGGTACACTCGGAAGCCACTGTGGGTGGGGAACAAAACAGAGGGCAGAAGGCTGGCTTTGTAAAAACAAATGAGTAATGCCACTCCCGGGGAATGGGGCTCTTAAGTGAAGATATGGAAATCATGTGGTGAACACTAAACCAAAAAAGACGGAGTCGAAACAGCACAGAGATAAGAAGTACAAAGATTTAATTGTTAACGAGAGAACAAAGTAGAGTGCTATCCTCACTGGCAGCCAGAGCCCAGGGGGAGAAAGGCCCGCAGGACTGTGGAATGGAACCTCGCTGCATTCAGTGCTTAGGACCGTTCACCCACATTGCCTGAGATCTGGAGGTGAATATACATTTCTGCCTCGGTATATATGTACACATGTGCACACCCACATGGAAACGTTGCTTGCCTTAGCCACAAAGGAAACCCAGTATCAGACCTAAGAAATCCTCCCCCTTATCTGCTTACCATTGACCTGGTCGGCGGTTATGCCCCTGACTTTTTTGGAGCAATTGTTCATGTCTACCTGCTTACAGAGCAGTGTGGTAGCTACAGTTGGATATCCAGCCAGATTTCTAACCAGAAGTAATTATGACTTTCTCTCAAGAAGGTGAAAATGTGCACATGGGCCCAGAGGAAGGCGTGTTGGGCATTGTTGATGAGGGCACAGTCAGGATGCTGGCTGGCCTCAGTGGAGGACTGCGTTTCTCCCAGCTGTGACAAACGAACAAGGACTCTGAAGGATATGGTGCAAGTCCAGGGTGGTGTGCCCTGAGCCCCCCAGATGGGGAGCTGTGCAGTATATTTGGGAAGCCACAGACACTAGAGTTAGCTGGAGTCTTGGGGGGGGCAGTGAGAAGTAGAAAGAGAACAGCCTCTGCTCTGGCTCCTAACGTCAGCAGATGTCAGGCGGAGGGCAGGTGCTTCCCTCCCACACTGGATTTTGTCGAACTGTGAGTCTGAGGCTTAGGGAAATGGGGCAGCTTGCTGGGACTTGAGCAAGAGATGGGCTGTGCACCTCAGGCTTCTGCAGCCTGGGGTGTGGAGATGGGGTGGTGACGGAGGCTAGGCTAAGAGGTGGGTTCTGTGAGACATTGGGAAAGACTGGCCTTGACCTCTCCTTGGAAGGCTCTGGCGTGTGTGAGCAGAGCAAGGCCCTGGCATGGGCTGTCAGACTCAGGCTGGAGAGAAGGGGACCTAGTTTTGGCAAACCACACGGCAGGAGCAGCAGCTGCGTCTGTGAATGCTTTGGTTAGGAAGTTGAGCTGATGGCCCGGCCCTGACTGTTTCAGGTATATGGGGAATGAACCAGTGATATCTCTCTCTCTACCTTTTTTGCTGTCTTTCAAGTGAAATGCAATAAACATTAAAAAAGAGCAAAAACCATAAACAGTGGAACTGAGGAGGAAGTAGAGCCAAACCCAGCTGCTCAGCACAATCTGGCACTTACGAGGCTTGGAGTTATTGGGCCGGTAATGAACAAAGCTGCTTTCCTCGTGTTGGGTAAACTAGTTTTATTGGATCCAGCAAGAACAATAAAACAGTCATCCCATATTATACTATCATGGTTTTATAAGAGAAATCACGTTTTAATACAAGCATAAAACAGTGGCTCGTCCTGGGAATGAAGGCTGATTCTTTCCATGGAGTAAGTTCTGAATTCCAGGACTAGAAGAGTTCACTGCGCATGTTCCCTTGCTCTCTTGTGTTGTCACTGTTCAGTCAGTATTCTCATAATTCACGTTTGGGAACCGCTGGTGGGTACTTTCATATCTCTGCTTGAGTGGAGGGAGGAGGTCTGGGGCAGGTGGGAAGTTACGGCTAGTTCAAGTTCAGGTCTGCAGTCTTTAGGGTTTACAGAGGAGCCTTCCAGGACGAAGAGTCCTCTGTGCAAGGGAGCAGGGGAGGCCTTTGTGAGGGAGGGGAGCGAGAGAAGAGGGGGATGTAGTGCTGACCCAGCACCTGCCAGGTGCATGTTGTAGAGAGCACTGGATCATCATAGAAAGTCTTGAACAGAGATTATTAGCTATTTTTAAAACATTTATTTACTTATTTGAATGAGTTGGAAGGAGACACGAGAGATCTTCCATCTACTGGTTTACTTCCCAGATAGCTGCAATGCCCAGTGCTGGGCCCATCCAAAGCCAAGAACTTCTGTGTGTCACCCATGAGAATGACAGGGCCCAGACAAATAGGTCATCTCCCAATGCTTTACCTAGGTGTGTTAGTAGGGAGCTGAATTGGAACTGTGGCAGCCACGATACAAACCAGAGTGCATTTGGGATGCTGGTGTTGCTCGTGGCAGCTCTACGTGCTATGCCACAATACTGGCCCTGGCACTGTTATTCCATCATAGGTACAGAAATTGAGGTCCTGGTGTTTAATGTACCTGAGTCTCCCTACAACCCAGTTGGGGTTCAGACTGAGGCTGACCCATGCTTTCCTATCCACATGGATTCTTCTGTTCAGATTGGTCTGAGCATGCTGTCTCAGAACCTTTGTCATTTTGAGAAACAGAAATGACTGCGTGCAGCACTTTTACTTTTCCCCTTGGGACTGTTGCTGGTTGTCTTGTGCTTTTGTGAGCATTTGCATTGGTTTTGTTCCTGCATGCTGCCTCTTCATTGGGTAACTGGCAGGTAGGTGGGTGTGTTGGTACAGAGCTGTGTTTTATGAACTGTCCTTTCCTCTGTGCACCTGCTGTGTGACCCATCGCCAACTCAGCACAGATTCTGGTTGTGAAATTTTCAGGCTTCCCACGGGGTGGTTAAAGGGTGGAGGACACCTTAGAGCTCTTGTTTCTGCACAGGAAACCATAACTCGGGAGATGGGGGAGTGAGATGGAGACCCCAGCTGCAGCCAAATTTCCATCCTCAGCCTCTGCTTTCTGGGTCACAGCTCTTCCCATCGTGTGTCCTTGGATGATTCCCCGATTATGCTGGTTTGAACGCCAGCAGGGCTTCCTGGGAAACTCCTAATGGAATCTTTGAACAGCTGCCCATAGATGGTTTTCAGATTTTCAGCTGTTTTTCTCTTTTAATGGAAGCTCTGACTGACTAGTTGGTTAATGGGTCCCAGGTTCTCCAGGGCCACTTAACTTCCTAATTTTCAAGCATTAACCATGGAGAAAATTTACTCTGCAGAAGCTTGTGACTTAATGAGCTCAACCAAAGTCATTCTCAAGTTGTAAGCAAGAGCTTTGATCCCAGTGATGGGTGTTTTGGTTTGCTCCTTGGGGTGGGGGATGGGGAAGAAGCTTACCCATGATTTATTAATCACTTCCTTGGCTACACTGTCTCGCTTGGCTCTCCCAGGAAGCCCCAAAGGGGAGGCTGCCAAGGACAGAGCCTCAGCATGGGTTTCATTCTCCACTGCAGCCAGGGGGTGCTTCCAGGGCTCCAGGGCTCCAGGGCTGCGTTTTTAGAAGTTTCTGCTCAGCTGGAAGGCAGCCAGATGTTGGAAGTAGAGGTACACACCTTGATTTAGCCCTCTCTGCCCATTCAGAGCAACAACCCAGGATTCCATGTCGGCAGAGCCAGCTGTGTGCATTGCTTTTTTCTGGGAGACCAACTGATAAAATACTTACATCATCAACTGGGTGACAGGTCCTGCTTTGTCAGTTTAAAATGTCTTCAGAACGCAGCTGCCGCGAGGATGCGGGCTTGTTAGTGTTTTTTTTTTTTTTTGCTGGCAGTTTTTCTTTTTATGAGGAGCAAAGACGCTCGGCCTGCACCCTTGGGAAGGAGATCTGCTGTGAAGGAGCGTTTGTTCCCTGGTGCATGGGCTGGCCGTGGCTAGGCCTAACACAACATGGGCTGTGTGCGCCCAGCTCTGTCCCCAGGACTCTGGGTTATGGTCTCTTTATTTCTCGTGCCCTCTTCTAGGTAGGTGCGGTGGGTTCAGTTCTTTCCCCTTGACACCCCCCGCCCCATCCCAACCCAAAGTAGATTACCAAGCCCTAATCACCCCAATACCTGTGAATGGTACCTTTTTCGGAAGTGAGCTCTTTGCATACGTGATTATGGTGCAGATAGTTCAGATGAAGTTACTGATTGCAGAGGCTGGTGTCTTTATAATGGACAGTGGGATGCCCAGAGAGAGTGTGCCTTGTGACTCCAGGTAGGAGGGATGTCACCTGTCTGCAAGCTGCCCAATTCAAGCATAGCCAGTGACCTCTAGATTGTCCCTCAGCTCTCAGACGGAGCGTCACATTACCAGCACCCTGACCCTGAAGCTCTGGCCCCACTAAGGTAAGGCATCCACTTTCTGTTAATTTGTTACATCAACCCTTGGGGAAAAAATGCAGTGAAGATTGCCTTAGAGGATATTAACCTCATCTCATAGATGAGCAGCAAGACTCAGATATGTGTCTTGCCGCACAGCACTTGGCTCCTATGTGGGGACAGATAAATTGGGTTCCCCATGATGCTGCCAAGTCTGTGCTTTGTATGTGCCACTGAGTGGGCACAGAGCTGGTTGTCTGATGCTGGTCACCTAGCACACCTTCTGGA